GCTCAGCTTTGAGCCTGGCTGGGGCTGCGTTTGTTCCTGTAGCCCAAGCTGGGGCTGCTTTCAGGCTCTGCTAAATGTCTGCTGGTGCCTAAGGTCAGGCACTGAGCCTGCAGGCAGGCTGGGCTTGGCAGCAAGTGCCTGGCAAGGCAGAGGCTGTGTGTCCTGCTTAGCTCCTGTTCTCTACCCCAGCCCTTGCTCACATAGATCCTGTGTTCTCTGCTCTGGACAGCAGGGGGGAGGGAGGATCTTGTTGTTACTGCTGGGTTTTTTTCCTCCACCAGCCTGCACTGCGTTTCCCACATGTGAGTGTGTTCCTCTTTTACCTGTGGTGGAGTTGGGCAGCCGCTTCTTCGTGCTCCCGCTGGAGATCCTCTGCTGCAGCGCCTCAAAGAAAGCCTGAGGGATGTGGAACACCAGCGGCTCGGGCTTGCCTGGGGGGAAAGAAAACAGGCTGAGGATAGGGGACAGGCACCATGGGCTTGCAGAAGGGGGGCTGGGGTGTTCACACATGCCCCAATCCTGCTCTTGTCCCCTGATCTGTCTGACTGGAGCCTCTAGGGGCTGGGTGGAAGAGTGCTGCCTCTGTTTGACTGCATTAATAGCAAAAATAGTAAAAATTGTTGTCTTGAACTCAGAGTCTGGTGCTTTACTGTGTGGCTTTGCCTCTTGTCCTGGCTGGGGCCCTGGGCCCCCTGGCTTAACTCCCCCATCCCATTCTGTAAACCAACACTGAAGCTGGTGAGAGACTTGGCTTGTGAGGGAGTTAAGAGTTCAGCTCACAGATCCTGGAGCATCTTCTACACTTCAGTGACTCCCCCTCAGGCTGGCTGGGGTGCAGACAGCCCTGGTGTTCTCTGCTCTGGCTGCAGGTCCCTCTTCATAAGTAAGTCAGTCCCTTATGAAAAATCCTTGTTGGGGCTGGACTTGGTAAGCCCCTGGTAGGTGCTGCAGCTCTTTCCAGCTCCATGAGAGCAGTGCAGTTCTGTCACCCAAGCCAAGCACATACAGGCTGTGATGGGGCAACTGTCCCTGTGAGGTGTCATTAAGTGCAGGAAGGACAGACATACACAGGCCTCAGGCAAGCTGCCAGCAGCGACACCCATGGGCCCCAGACTGTTGTGCTCAGGTTCGTTGGTGGATGCAGCCATCTTAAGGGTCCTTTCCACCCTCAATGTAGTTCTTAAAGGTGGTGTCAGCACCTGCCCTACTCCAGCAGCATCACCCCAGCTTTGCAGAGCAACCAAAAGCCTCAAGGGGCTGTGTCCCCCCCAACCAAGGCAGAGCCCTGCCTTTGGAGCATGGAAGGGGGCTGAAGAGGATGGCAGAGTGCTCTGGACAGCCACAGGGGGATTAAAAGCAGATTATTTCTGAGATCTAATGCTATGTGAGGCATCTTGCTTTGCTTTACTTTACCTCCCTTCTTCTGCATGGCCCCAGGCAGTTTGACTGATTGATAACCTCTTGGGGAATCTCTCCTTTCCCCAGCATAATCACCAGCACTGGGCTGCTGCTGAGGATGAAGCCCCTCAAAGCCGATAGAAACTTCCCTGGGTGAAAGAAATTTGCTCCGAGCTGGGCAAGGCACTTGCCTCCCTTGGGGCTAATGGTGATTTAATGCTGCCAAGAACTTACTTAATGAGCGAGGTAGTGCCCAGAGCGGGGTCATGCCCGAAGCCTTACCCTCAAACTGGTAATGCATGGTTTGATGGATGCGTTCGGTGACGCTGGCCAGCCAGTCCTGGAAGGAGAGGGGCACTGCAGACAGCCCTGGTGTTCTCTGCTCTGGCTGCAGGTCCCTCTTCATAAGTAAGTCAGTCCCTTATGAAAAATCCTTGTTGGGGCTGGACTTGGTAAGCCCCTGGTAGGTGCTGCAGCTCTTTCCAGCTCCATGAGAGCAGTGCAGTTCTGTCACCCAAGCCAAGCACATACAGGCTGTGATGGGGCAACTGTCCCTGTGAGGTGTCATTAAGTGCAGGAAGGACAGACATACACAGGCCTCAGGCAAGCTGCCAGCAGCGACACCCATGGGCCCCAGACTGTTGTGCTCAGGTTCGTTGGTGGATGCAGCCATCTTAAGGGTCCTTTCCACCCTCAATGTAGTTCTTAAAGGTGGTGTCAGCACCTGCCCTACTCCAGCAGCATCACCCCAGCTTTGCAGAGCAACCAAAAGCCTCAAGGGGCTGTGTCCCCCCCAACCAAGGCAGAGCCCTGCCTTTGGAGCATGGAAGGGGGCTGAAGAGGATGGCAGAGTGCTCTGGACAGCCACAGGGGGATTAAAAGCAGATTATTTCTGAGATCTAATGCTATGTGAGGCATCTTGCTTTGCTTTACTTTACCTCCCTTCTTCTGCATGGCCCCAGGCAGTTTGACTGATTGATAACCTCTTGGGGAATCTCTCCTTTCCCCAGCATAATCACCAGCACTGGGCTGCTGCTGAGGATGAAGCCCCTCAAAGCCGATAGAAACTTCCCTGGGTGAAAGAAATTTGCTCCGAGCTGGGCAAGGCACTTGCCTCCCTTGGGGCTAATGGTGATTTAATGCTGCCAAGAACTTACTTAATGAGCGAGGTAGTGCCCAGAACGGGGTCATGCCCGAAGCCTTACCCTCAAACTGGTAATGCATGGTTTGATGGATGCGTTCGGTGACGCTGGCCAGCCAGTCCTGGAAGGAGAGGGTCACCTGCGACTCGTCCAGCAGCTGGTTGCAGCCTAGAAGAGGAAGGGGAGGGAAAACCAGAATCAGAATCAGCACACAAGTGAAGCGCCAAGCCAAATGGGCAGGAGAAATAACTAACTGGGCAGGAGAAATAACTTCCAGGGCTCGGGAACACAGGGCTGCTGTAACAGCAGCAATCTGCTTCATAACACCAACCCCCCCACCCCAAACTGCGCTCAGCAGGAGTGGCAGCCTCAGCGCCGCGGCACGGCTACGTCGTCTCACTGGGGAGCAGCTTTCCCAGCGCCTGTCCCTGGGAGCGGGACCCGACACGTCCTCACCCCCGAGCACCGACACTCCCTGGGGCACACACGCAGGCATATGTGGGAGCAAAACTATCGGGGGGGGGAAAGCAATTTGTACCACTTACTTACTTACTTACTTTCTGGGGCAATCCTAAAGCTAAGAGGAACAAAACCCAAGGCTCCTGCCCAGCCCCAGGGCATAACCAGCAAGGGGAGCGGGGCTCTCCAAAGGCTGGACTGACCCCTCCCTCTCTGACTGTCACACACAGGCACAGCTCAGCACCCTGCTCAGAGACAGCCCTTGTTATGTGCGTACCCACCATGACCTCCCTGGGGTCACCCCAGCTCCTGTCTCCGTCACCGCTGGCACGCTCCCCGCACCGGACCGTGCTTCTGAGCAAGGATTTGCCACCAGAAGCCACAGCTACTCTGGCCACAACAACTGTCCCCCCCCGCCCTGGCTGCTCTGGAGGTTAAGAGATGCTGCAAACAAACACCAGTGGTGGCAAAACCCAAAAGCAGTGGGAACCAGCTCACAACTTCCCCTGACCCGACTTGCCCATCCATTTTATCTGGGAGGGCGCTTTGTGGCATTAGGAGATCATAGAATCACAGAATTGTTTAGGTTGGAAAAAGACCTTTAAGATCATCAAGTCAAGCCCAACCATTCCCCTAACACCACTGCCATCCCACTTCCTGCCCGCCCGGGGCAGCACCGGCCCCACCACAAGCCAACTGCTTTAAGCTCAACACGCCAAGAATCCCTCCAAAGAGCCACCCTGGGAGGACGCCAGCAGCATCCACCTCTAACAACCGTGCTTACGGCTGGCCAGAGCTACGCCGGCCCCCCGGGCGACAGATGCATGCAGCTACCAGCAACACCGAGGTGCCCGAGCCCCGTTTTCGCCTCCCAGAGTGAGAGGCAGACAGAGCAGGCTTGGCCATCCCCTCCACAGGGGTTATGGCTGCACGAACCCAATGGCTGTGGGCATCTGCCCCATCCCTGAGTGCTCCCGACCGACGGCGAGACGCGCAGCCAAGGCTTACCTTGTCTTTTCAGCGAGGAGGCGACGGCCGGCTTCTTCAGGCTGCTTCTCCTGGGGTTGCTGCGAGCCGGGTCCTGAGCCAGGAGAGGGCCGGTTGCCTGCGCCCCTGTGGGACCGTGGAGCAGAGCGTCAGCCCATGAGTCCCGAGGGTGGGATGGAGAAATCGCCCCTCTCCTCCAAGCGGGCTCTTAGCACAGCTCTTGCCACCTTAATGATTGCTAAAAGACCCAGTTGGACTCGGGGCAGGAACCTGCCGGCACCCGGAGCCTCTCCCAAAGCTTCCACCGGTGCCGGACATGGCACGTAGCTGGCTATGAGTCTGGCAGAACACGGCGGGGCTGTTGCTCCGGAGGTTGTGCCGGCCAGGCAACGGGTTTTGGCTTCAGACCGGGTCTGCCCTGTCCCACAGAGCCTCTGCAGACACTCACCAGCCATTGCATCCTTCTTCCTCCTCTTGGGCTTGGTAGCAGCTGCCTCCCCAGCCTGCCCTGGGGATTCGGGGCTGCCGACTGACTGTGGGACCACGAGCCCTTTCAGACCTAGGAGAAACAAGCCTCCATCCTTAAAAGCACAGCAGCGCTGCGGGGTCTCACAGCCCCATCCCCGCTCCAGCTCTTACCCCCCCAACACCCCCCTGCGTGCCCCCAATCTCCTCAGGGAAACCCCAAAGCCATCTCGACCCTCCCAGTGTGCTGCTTGTGGGGGGAACATGGAGGTGAGCGGTGATTTTAATTGACCCCGGTCACTCTCCTCAGGGTGGATTTTCACCTTTGGGTGCCCAAAGCTAGGGTGGGATCATGTGGGAGCACCCGCTAGGGTGCAAAACACCCCAGGGGGACTGAACCCTGGGGCTGCTGCTGTAGGAGGGGGGGGTTTGCCACGAGCTGGGCTTCCCTCCAAGCTGCTCTGGCCCAAAGGGAAGGGGACACCCTGCTCCCAGCCCAGAAAAGGAACCCAACTCAACCCAAGCGCCTGCCCCGCGCCCGCTCTGCTCCCGCACACCAGGAGCCCAGATCACACTGGGAGTCTGGAGGAATCATTCCCTACCAAGCTCTCTGCTCACAGAGGGAGGGGGCAGGAAATTAAGCCCCAGCTAACGAAGCACTGATAGGGAGCAGATGTGAGGGCAGCTCCGGCCCCACAGCCCGGGCTAGAGCAAGGCAGCTGCCAGGGCACGAGCAGGAGGCACCAGCCCCACATGGTCCCTCACCGCTGCCAGCCCCCGAAATCCTCCACGCGTCAGCCCCCTCGCCACCTACCGCCTGAGTCGTACGCGAGGAAGTCGGCGAACTCCTGCGCCAGGCTCTCGTCGCTGGCGAAGGCGCAGATGCAGGCGAAGAAGTGAATGCAGCGCGGTGTTGGTGTCGTCGGCGTCGTCTCCTCCTCAGCTGGGCCGCCCTTGCTGGGCTTCAGAGCCTGGCAGGAGCAGGAGAACCTGTGGTCAACCAGCGTCTTCGCGCTCACCCTCTGGGCGAAGGAGGCGTGCAGGTAGCCGAGACTGTGCTTCTGGCTGGCCTTGCACTTCACCACCAGGACGTTCTTGGTGATCCGCTGCACCAGCGGCCCCGTGGGCTCGGTTGCCAGCTGCCATATGGTTTGTTTGGTTTCGGGCGAAGCCTGCATGGAGTTGAGCACCGAGCTTTTCAGGGTGAGCGGAGTGGCTTCGGTCTGGCAGTTCAGGGCCAGTTTGACGTGCTGGCACTGGTTCTCCACCACGCCTTGCGTGGCCGCTTTCAGACACGCCGGCACGTAGCAGCGGCCAGAGCTGAGCTGCGTGATGATGGTCCCCTCCACCGTCTGGATGGCCGTCTCCGAGACCCCCAGCTCCACAAAGCACCGGTAATCCGGTCCCCGGTCCCTCTGCCGCACCGAATAAACCTGTAAGTCAGAGCCAGTGATGATCTTGACGGCGTCGACGCTGGGCTGCTTGCGCGTGCCATAGCGGAAGACGGTCCCGCAGTTCTTGTTCTTGCAGCTCAGGCCGCGGGTGCCATTGTAAGTGCCGCAGCGGGGACATTTCCGGATGCCCCGGAGCGTGGCCTTCCCCAGGTCGGACAGGAAGGAGGGGACTTTTGTCCTCACCGGTGATGGCTCCATCCTCCGGGGAACCTGGAAGGGCAGAGATCGGGTAGATGAGTTAACAGTGCCCAGCACCAGCAGAGACGGAAGGGAGACACCGAGAGAGGGGAAGCGACTGGCTGCCCGGTGCTGGCAGGACGGGCGGGTGTCCCTGATGGTGGCTGTGCCGCCCTGCCACATCCCATGCTGGCTGCTTCGGCTCCTTCCTTGCACCTGAGGCCACGAGTGACACCTGGGCGTGACAGGACACACTGTGGCAGCATGCCTGTCTGCACTGAGTGACAAAGTGCCACCCTGGGAAGCACTGCATCCCGATGCCAGTGCCCACCCCCTGCCATTTCCCCGTCTCGGCTGCACAGGAGAAAAACGAGGCTAAAAAGCGAGCTTTTGGCACATGCGTGCTTGTGGCTAGCCCCACGGGGTCACCCCCAGGGGGGTAAATAAAATTAAATAAAGAACATGGGATGTGAATAAAGGTGGGCGGGCTGCTCCCCATGGTGAGGGGAGGCAGAAAGCCCCAACGCAGCTGCTCTGAGGGACATCAAGGTGGAAGCCCAGGCAGAGATGGTGGGAGAGAAAACCCTGTGTGAATGGGACAGAAATGGGGCAATTCCCCCCCGCCCCGAGCCACCTGGGTCAGGTTTTTGCACCAGGCTGGCAGCAAGAGTGACTCCTGGCGAGCCACCCTGGCACCGGGAGGAGCCGCTGGCCCTGCAGTCCTGCCTGAATTGTAGAATTGCAGAGTGGTTTGGGGGGGAAAAGCCCTTTAAGCTCCCCCAGCCCAACC